TATCTATCTATCTATCTATCTATCTATCTATCTATCTATCTATCTATTAGTCATCTGTCCATCTGTCCATATCATCTCTCATCTATCTATATTCTGTTTGAGGTCTATGTTAGGTTGATTTTGAACTAACACCCTAGTCCCACATTTCCATCTGCTAGGCAACTTGTCAACCTCACATTCATGTCTTCATCTTTCCCTCTCAACTCACATTTCTCTCCTGCTTCCCATTTCTTTACTTACTTAGGTCAAAATTGGAGTCTTTATTGATTTGTCTTTTTCCTTGCTCGTTACTTCTAACTTCCCCAGGCTCTACACTCTCAAGTGTTTTGTTCCCTTCTCCAGTGTCTCTCAAGCCCAGCCTTCCTCCCTCCCTTTCCCACCATTGACAACTGCTACTACGTTTTCTCAGAGGACACATTTGATGACAACACTTCTCATGACAGTTGGTGGCAGGACACTACCTGTTGAATGAGTTCTCACTTCTTTTACTCACTGTTGAAGACCTCCACAGTCTGACCAGAAGTTCCTCTCTTGTCAGACTCTGATTAGTCACCCGAATGCAATTCTGGCCACAGCTAGATTAATCTTGGAACTTCAAGTTCTTGGCTATCTGTAGCCCAGACAGGTTCAGGTGCTCCTTCAATGGACAGCAGCTACCCTCACCACCATACCACCAATGCTATGTGTTCTTTCAATGGAGACTGAACATAAACCCGTCCTCTTTGTTCACCCGTTAACCATGTCTGTCTCACTGAATGTTTGAGTATGTTGCCTTTCTATTGAATCACCTTATATATATTGCCTTGATATTTTTATGTCCACATGCAACCTCCTTAATATCAGACGACTCTTTAAAGAGCGGAATACAATACTGCTGTTGTGATTATAGAAATGCAGGGATCTGTGTGACATAATGATTTCATCTTTTGGATACACACCCAAACAGATTTCTTGAGTGTGTGCAGGCCCTTGAGTCAACCTTGAGTATCTTTTCTAAAGAGATATCTATCTTGTTTTTTAAAGCATGTTCTTCTACTGGGACCCAGGGCTTGCCAGTTAGGTTCATTTATCTACATAGCCACTGTACAAATTCCCACTGTATTTTCTAATTTTCTAGGTTATAGAGGGGTGACTTTACTTTCAGCATGGTTGACATTCAGAGTAGGATGTGTTCTTGCTGTGGAGGCTGTCACATGTGTTCTAAAGTTTAATAAGGTCCTCAACTTCTATTCAGAAGATGACAGTCACAACAAGCACGTTCTCTAGACATTGCAAATGTTCCCTGGGTACCTCTCCCAGCTGAGGATCATAAATCTAGGATATAAAATGAGTAGGCCACAGTCATTGCTTTGAGATACTTCTCAATGAAGATGAGCGCTCACACATGTGGACCCTGTGTAACAGCTTCAAGATGACACATTCTCCCCTGTCTCTTTTAAGAAAAAAAAAAGCAACCATCCCTCATCTATCTTACATGTAGCATTTACTTTTGTCTTCAGCCTACTCCTCAGAAACTTAGTAGAAAGCAAAAAGGTAATTTTGATGTTGTCCCCTAAATCATCAATCTCTTAAGCCCCCAATTGTTTTCTGAACTATCACCTCAGTGAAGACAGACACTTTTTATTTTCCTCATAGACTTTGTCTGTATTTTGTGGTGATTATTCTATAATATCAGAAAGGCTATGCTCATTATATTATACAGTAAAACGAATGACTTAATAGACTGAGTGATTTTTCTTAATTATTTATGTCTTTCTGATTGTATAATCACTGTGGTTATTTTATTTGCAGATGAACAGCAGCCCGAAGATTCTGTGGATGAATGAAAAGAATGTGAAGCATAACTTTCTAGGGTGAAGCTTAACAAAGTTGGAAATTAACTTGCAGTGTATTTTTTCCTGTGTTCTTTGTATTCAGTGAATGCATCCTAGAGCCAAATGATTTCAACATTTGGATTCCCTTCTTTGCTGATTATATTTCTTTGATATTTTTGAAACTTGGGGTGTAAATGTTTGGCGGGTTTTAGTCATGGAAATTCCTGGGAAATTAGTTTACAACTATATTGCTAATCTTACAATCTTAAGGATACTGTATAAAAACCAACATTGTAACGTATGCATGCTGTACTAAGTCTAGTGGGCATGAATTCATTGCTTTCTATTTGTCACTTTTGGAGGGGCAGTGCTGGGGATTGAACTTATGACCTTGTGCTTTTGGGTCAGGCACTCTGTCACTAAGCTGTACCCATCCCTCTACATTGGGTTTTCTGTGTTTCAACTCTGTGATGATACAGGTGGCTTTCTCTTCTGCCTTTGTTTTCCCTTCTTTCTGCCCATCCAATGTTCGTCCATCAGAACAGCTCAACTTGGGAAGAAATAAGCTCCTGAAACAAAGGAATGTTGACAGAGTCTGTGCTATCCTGCTAGCAATGATAGCTTTCTTTTTTATTGATTTATTATTTATTACAATTTATTCACTTTGTATCACAGCTGTAAACCCTTCCCTCATCTCCTCCCTGTCCCACCCTACCTCCCTCTTCCCCCACTATGTCCCTTCCCCAGTCCACTGATAGGGGAGGTCCTCCTCCTCTACTATATGACCCTAGCCTATCAGGTTTCATCAGGACTGGCTGCATCTTCTTCCTCTGTGGCCTGGCAAGGCTCCCCCCTTCTTAAGTTAAGTGTGATAGATTATTTATCACTCTTACTTTATGTTCTTCTGAAGTTTGGGCCTTTGGCATGCAGGGAATAAAGGTGAACCTTATTAAAAGAAAGTCTGCAGCATTATCTCAAGGGAGAAGGTTTGTCCAGTTCTGAGCTAGTAATTTGATCTCCTGAGAAGGTTTTCTGGCCACACATGTACGTTGTGTTGGCCTCATAGATGGAAGTCTAGTTTATTTCTAGTTCATCATAAGCTGACTGTGGCCCCAACTTTAACACAGTTTGGATTACTGCAGGTACAGCAGTGCTCATTTTTGCCAGCATGCCTTTGTTGGCCCTGCTTGATATTAATGATTGCTTACGTATTTCCCTGACTTGTTGAAATGAGGAAATCTATAGCTACTATTTTAAAGGGCATCCACATTCCTATGGACATCTTTATCTAGCCTTTCTATTTTAGTTGACTATTTATTTCTGTTAATTTTGTTTTTGAAGAACAGGAGATTGGACCCAGGGCCGTGCACATGCCAGGTAAGCACTTTAGCACTGAGCCACACTCCCAGCCTATTTGTCCATTTAAAAAAAGCAATGGCACTATTCCTAATTGACTGAGAAAGCGCCAGATTGATTTCCAAAGTGGTTGTACAAGTTTACATTCCCACCAGCAATGGAGGGAGGTTCCCCTTTCTCCACAACCTCTCCAGCATGTGCTGTCACTTGAGCTTTTGATCTTAGCCATTCTGATGGGTATAAAGTGGAATCCCAGGGTTGTTTTGATTTGCATTTCCCTGATGACTAAGGAAGTTGAACATTTCTTTAAGTATTTCTCTGCCATTCGATATTCCTCTATAGAGAATTCTCTGTTTAACTCTGTACCCCATTTTTTAATTGGATTACTTGATTTGTTGCTTTTTAACTTCTTTAGTTCTATATATATACTGGATATTAGCCCTCTGTCAGATATAGGGTTGGTGAAGATCCTTTCCCAGTCTGTAGGCTGTTGTTTTGTTCTGATGACAGTGTCTTTTGCTTTACAGAAACTTTTCAGTTTCATGAGGTCCCATTTATTGATTTTTGATCTTAGAGCCTGTGCTGTGGTGTTCTGTTCAGGAAGTAGGAGCAGCCTAACTAGGCCACAGAGAAAGACATTGCAACCAGTTCTGGTGAGACCTGATAAGCTAGGGTCAGATGGAGGGGGAGGAGGTCCTTCTCTATCAGTGAATTTATAGAGGGGCACGAAAGGAGATTAGGGAGGGAGGGTGGAATTGGGAGGGAGTGAGGGAGGGGGCTATAGCTGGGATACAAAGTAAACTGTAATTAATATATAAAAAAATTAAAAATAACAAAAAAGCAATGGCATACACTGATGTCCATGTCCTACAGTGGCATCAAATAATCTTAATGCCTGAGTTTTGCTGGTATCAAATGCCTGTAAAAGTGAAAAATCACAATTTTCGGTTCTCCCTGGATGATTGTGATACTTCCTGGGTACTGAAGAATCTGGTGGGAACAATCAGAGGGCAGGGGTTGGTGTAGCAAGCATTTGGAGTGGGACAGAGGGAAGCCATTACTGCCCACCAGCCTTTCAGAAGGTTCAGACTTTCTGTGTCCATGCTTTCCTTGTATTTGAGGTATGTGCATAAAAGGGCCATGGAGAGACAGAGAGACAGAGGAAGGAGAGGAGAGAGAAAAGGGAAGGTAAGAGAAAAACAGAAAAAGAAACCATTTCTATGGGAATTGCATAGGCTGATAACTTTACAGAATGCCTCTGCAGATGGTGTTTGAGATACAAGGAGCTTGGGAGTCAGGTAAGAGGAAGGACATAATGACATCCAGTAATGAACTTTTTAATTAAAAGGACTAACATTATTTCGTAGCATGTCAGCTGGAAAGTAGCAAGGGTGGATAAGCAAGATAGACCACATAATTTAACAGGCAAGCTCCTGATTCAAAAACCAAATCAGCTGGGGTGTTTTCTCCAGAATAAGAGTGAATATATAATATATATATATAATTCTCTCTCTATATATAGATATAATCTATATATAGAGTTGTATATATATATATATATATACATATACATATATATATATATATATATATATATATATATATATATATATAGAGAGAGAGAGAGAGAGAGAGAGAGAGAGCGCTAATACACTTTAGGAAGGAATTAAGGGGTGGTAGTAGTTTTCTAGACAGCACTCTTCAGTAAGCCACCAGCACCACCCTAGTTGTAAATTATGACCTTTCATCCAAACATGACAATCAACTCCTGTGTGAGTCAAAAATCTATCATCCGGTTGATGTAATTCTAGTTTTGCACAACTCTTCAATCTGTTATAACCTCCTGACTTGAAGACCGTTCTCACAGTGAAATGGAACAAGATAGACTAAAATCTCCCATCTGGCCAATTTTTTTCTGCCTTGTCTTGGCGTTCTCCTCTGGCAGGTTTGCTGCAACATTTTGCTAAAAATTAAATAGAACTCTCCTCCAGAAAGCCACGTATCAAACCATCTTAGAGAAATGGATGCCACGTTTCTGGTACTCACTGCCTTCAGATCATCTCCCCAGCTCATGCTAGTTCGCTTCACTGTGAGTCTGTAACACGATAGGGCACTTGGTCTTCGTGCCACCCAGGTCAGTGGTCTTTTCAACAGAGAAGGTCAGCCAGGGAGGCAGATTCCATCTCACACAGCCAATTCTTCCCAGCCTTCCTCAGACCTCAAAGCCAGATCTTTCACCGAGTGGGATTCCTTTATGGATCCGTTTATCAGAACTCGAAATTAGTTGGATCTTCAGACTCATAGTTAATCCATCCAAAACTCAAGTTCTGCTTATTGGAACAGGCTTCACAGAATAATTTAACACTCCCAAACATTCTTTCCAAAATGTACATTGCTGTAACAAAATGATGTGTGTGTGTGTGTGTCTAGTTGTGTGGATGTGAGTACAGGTCCCTACCGAGGCCGGAAGAGGCCAGCAGCTGCCCAGGAAGCGGTGTTACAGGAGATTGTGAACTGGCCCATGGGATGCTATGATTAGGGTGATTAGGGTCCTCTGCAAGAGCAGTTGTTGTATTAACCCTCTTAACTGCTGAGCCACCTCGATTGCTTCAACTTTGCATTTTCTTAGTTTTCTGTTCTTGACCCAAAGTATGTGTTCTCCAAAATACATTACTTGAGCGCTTGGCTAAGTTCCAGGACACCTCCTCCCTTACACTTCTCTGAGAGCCACTGTCCAGCAATCCTGACGCCATCACCCAGCGTCAGAAACATCACATGTTCCCACAGCTGTCCTTGCCTTTGTCGCCACCGTTCCTTTTAGAAACAGAGCTGGACTTTGAGGATTTAATGCAAGACCCCTAATATTAATAAAATGATGAAATGTGTTCTTTGTGGGGAGGCTTGAGACTCCAGGGTCATTTTTATTTTATGTTTTTCCTGTGGCAGACATACACTCTTTTTCTTCCAAAACTCTAGCAAATATACTTTCTGAGTCTAGTGCCTGTCAATCCTACATATGTGCTATTGGTTAGGAATGGCTTTTCCCACACCCCATGAGAGCAGTCAGGAAAGAACAAAACAAACACGGACACAAGAAGTATAAATATAAATTTCCATGATTTATTGTTGTTCCTTGTACATAAGAAACAATAATATACAAGTTACACTGCTTTAGAATGTAAAATGGATAAAAATGTGTACAAAAAAGCACATTCCTAGAAAAAAAGGTATTGGCAAATAGTAAAAACTGGGGAGTAAAAAGCAAAAAAACAAAAACAAAACCAAAGAAACAAACTAAAACAAAACAAGAGAAACTGACATTTCTTCAATTCAGTGTGCAAACATATAAAAATAGAAATACTAACTCTACCAGGCAGTATTTCCTGATAAATTATTTAAATAGCGTATCTACATAGTCTGAGATCTCTATTCCAATGGCAATGATAAAATAATTTATAAAAATAAAGCAACGGTGTACAAGATGATAGAACAAAACCAGAACGTTGAGAAGTTGTATTTAACATTTCCAAGCCATTTCTTTATTGGGTTCGCCCTCTGCGAAGGATTTTTACGCTATGTACAACACCGACTTTTTAGACACGACAGTAGTTTTAAGTTTGTTGACACTTAAACTCTTTCTACTTGATCCAAAATTCTTTACTCACTCACACAACAAATGAGGTAATATTGGTATATAAGTTCCACCTTTGTCTCTTTTGGGAAAATGAAAAAAAAAAAAAAAAAAGGTGATTACGTTTTCTTCTCCCTGGAAGTAGGCAGGAGGGGTGGCCGGGCCTAGCCTTAGAGCGCTCATGGGTTCCTTTATAAGGAGAAACCTGTGCAAATGGGCAGCCACCTAATTCCACCTGAAAAGATAGAGAAAACAAAGGGGGAGAGCCAGAGGAGCCCCAATCATTCACTCTAAGCCTGCAAATGAAAAGCAGCCACTTCCGCCGGCTTTCCACACGCTGGTTTTTGGAGAGATTTGCTGATCCGACTCAGCTACCTGCTTGCAAATGTTTGCCATCTGCAAGGTAATTCCAGGTAGAACAGGGTCAATAAATAATCTGTATTTACAATCTTACAGTCATAAAGACTCACTATGAAGATGATTCAGACAGTCCCACGCTTTCTGTTTTCAGTAACAATCCTTCAGACGGGTCCTCCAAAATAGGGAGAAAAAAAATAAATATATTACATTGTTAAACAAAAACCAGAAGAAAATTGGAAAACTCCAAGGTAATTGGGGGAGGGGAGGAAGAAGAGAGAAAAGGAATGTTTTAGTCAGGTTGATAGAAACTTTGTGCCTTTCTAACCATAAAATAAAGGCGCACCGCCCCTCCTTCAGGGGCAGCTAGAGCTCACTGAGATGGTGGGGTTCTGCTGTCCTGCCGCATCTGCAACGTTGTACGTGCAGAACAAACCAACAGTTCCAGCGTGACCAGCCAAGGGCAGCCAGCACAGCCTCACACTTCTCACCCCTACTCTGGCCACTACGGGTGGCTGTGTGAAAGCTGGGAGTCTGGAGGAGCCAGCCTTTCACTCAAGTGCCAATCAGCTCACACCGTCAGCATGAGGAAATAGAGTGACTCTTGCTGTCCCCTTTCAGTACCGAGCAAGTAACAGCTCTTCCATGTTCTCTTCATTCAGTCGTCTTGTCTCGGGAATGCATCCTTGCTGTGCTTTGACTCCGCCCTGCCCACTCCTGAGGACCTAGGTCAGGGGTGGAACGGTGGTGAGTTCTGGTGAGTCCTTCTCTCTCTGACGTGCCTGAAAATGCTCCGAGTGCTGCTCAGAGATGGCCTCACAGAAGCCCTGGCTCTCTGAGCCAGGCACCTTCCCAGCGAGAAGGAAGTAGATGCTTTTGCATTTACAAAGCAAACCAAAGTAATTCTTCTTGTTCTTGAGAGAGGCATTCTCACGCTTTAAGGGCCAAGTGCTGAGTCTGGGTTTGAAAACTGCATTTTCCTGAGGCAGGTCACCTGCTCTAGAAGTCCACACTATTGCAAGAAGAAAAGCAAGGAAGGCGAGGAGAAGTGATCCTGGCAGGCAGGTTTTCTCTAGCCCTTGGTTCCAGAAGGTGCAATGCCAGCGCTGGTTATGATCGGCAGCTAATGATTAGGAATCTGTTAAGTACACAAAGACATACAGAAATGAAAACTAATCGGCCAGCTCACAACCATCTTACTATGATCATCAGGCTAGCGACCAGCTCTCTAGCTTGAACCGGGACAGAATCATGAGTCACTACCCCGGCCGCCCTCCCCATTAGCGTATCTACTCGTGTCATCCTTGTTCAGGTCATGTTTAGGTAGCCATGTTGGTGAGGCTTTACTCTTGATGTCTTTGGTCTTAACACTCAATGCCTCTGAGCATGCAGACACTGGACTCCATAAATATGTACTAAGCACTTAATTCTGTGGTAGGTCCAATGCTAGACTCAGAGTTTTAAGTAACCATGTGAAGAAAATGGAGGCAGCAAAGCTAAAGCTACTAGTGAAAATTAATACTCTTTCTGCTGTTGGTCTTGAGAAGGACAGTAAGTGCTGTGATGGCATGAATAAAACCAAATGTGAGAGAGATAAACCTCCAAGTATGAGAGAGATAAACACACAGAACTTTAAAGTGTCAGTAGCAAGGGCTAATATTTGTAGCTGATTGTTTAGAGTCTGCCTCTGACCTGTGTAGGAAGAGTTCAGGGACTACTAGGCAAACTAATATTCCTGATAAGGATTCATGATTCCATAGACATCATTTTATGTTCAGCATCGTATCCTCAAAGGCAAAATAGAAATGAGGGTCATATCCCCAGACCCTCCCATCACTGTCATCCTTATTAATCTGTCGACATGTTAACTGTACAATCATCACAGTGCCACTCGTACCTCGACACTCGTATTTCATGTCTGAGAAGAACACCATTTCTTGAGAGAAGACAAACAGGCCTAGTCTACCACCAGCGTAAGTTTTGTCATAGATGGGTCCTGAGTCGGCCATGATTTTCTTTCCTTCATACATCACCACTCTGCAAAGAAAAAAAAAATCTCATTCATGAGACTGCTACTTCTTGGTCGTATCCTTTGAGCCTATTAGGTGTGACCCCAGGGAAATTGAATCACTGCAGTCTTACCTGATAAAGCCTGTCTTTGGCCTGTGACTGAGGCGCCATCTATAAGCAGTGAAGTCTTTCCAGCCTATGTGACGAGGGTCATGCCACAGGGTGCGCACCTGAAGGAAAAGGGCCAGAAGAGGTTGAAACACGGTCCCCTCTGAAGGTTCGTATTTCATTCCACAAGAAACTGCTTAAAAGGGACCGAGTTAACCTCTATTTGGGGGGGGGGGCAGTATAGAGTTTCCCCCAAGGCATCTCTCATTTACTGTGTATAAAGCTGAGACAAGAAAAGGAAAAGAGGGTTTTGTTTGCAGTGGCCGAAGCTGCATGTGGATTTAAAGGGCAGCTCTTGGTCAGAGCCCCACTCCCTTCCTGCACATCCTTATAGTTTTGTACTGTGGTTGACCAGGCTGGGAACTTGACAGCTATGACTCCCTAGTGGAAACCTGGCTGAAGCATTGTCTCCCGTGCTCCCCAAGGACCCATCAACGCTCCCTTCCAGATGACGTGGCTTCTCACCTGGCCAGGGGTGTTTCCTGTGTGCCACAGAGCATTCCGCAGGTGCTCGCCAGGCCCTGTGGTGGAATTCACAACCTTGACGGACAGGCCGGAGTAGCCCTGAGCCCTCGTGGGGTTGGTGTCCCAGTAGGACTGGGTGACCTGTTTCCACATCACAACGTAGAAGCGGCTGCTGGACTGGTAGCCGAACACAAAGCCAGCGTAGTCGTCATCCCTCTCAGTGTTGATGAAGAAGGTACCACTGAAGTCCACAGCATTAAACTCATCGTAACCTGGAAGGCAAGGCCAGAGGCAGATTAAAGACTGGCTTTTACGGAGTTCTCCACAACATTCCCAGATATCCCAAGTGGCCAAAGGCCACAGGTCCAATGGTCAGATTTCATATTTGCCTCCTATGGTTTTACTCCCACCTGGCTCTAAGGAGCTCACTACTTACCCACAGCAAGTCCAGGGTCGCAGTTTACAGTCTGGACAAGTTCTTTGCCCTGATGGCGCACAACCCAGTTAGGGTCATTTTGGGAGGTCCCTTTGGGATCTAGGGGAATCATCTGGAACCGACGGAAATCGGTTTCACTGATGTCAACATTCTCAGGACAGATGTCATCAATGTCTGGCACATTGTCATGGTCAAAGTCATCTTTGCAGGCATCACCTCGGCCATCACCTAAGTATCAAAGAAGGCAAAAGTTCAGTGAAATTCTGAAATGCCGTTGTGAGTGGGTCACACAGTCACCATCTTGCCAAAACTTGGTGTTTTGTTACTTTGTCCTTTCAGACACTGTTTTCATTTCTTCCATCTAGGCAGCTAAGGTGTTAAGCTGGCTAGTTGTGGTCACAGTGACTCACCATCAGAATCCTTCTGGTCAGGATTGGGCACCAGCCTGCAGTTGTCCCTGTCATCAGGAATGCCATCGTTGTCATCATCATGGTCGCAGGCATCTCCTTTGCCATCCTTATCATGGTCAGCCTGGTTGGCGTTAGGCACGTAGGGACAGTTGTCCAGATTGTTCTGATGGCCGTCCTCATCGATGTCCTGGTTGCTGTCACAGGTGTCCCCTATGAGGTCTGAGTCAGAGTCCAGCTGGAAGAGCATCAACAGAGGGTGAATCAAATAAAGGTCAACCATACTCCAGACCCTGAGTCATGATGGCCGTCTGTGCAGACCATCTGCATAATGTGTATAAGATAGCAATTACTTTTTCATTTTGAAAGCATCTGGCCTTCTACATCTATTTCACAAAGATTTCACCTTTTGGCTCAGATAAAGTCAAACTCTAAAATTTTTTTCACAACAGATTTTTTTCAGAGTACTTAGCATTCAGTATGTGTGAGATGCTTAGGGGATGGTATGTATATGTTTTCTTGCCAGCATTAATGCTCTTTGCTTTTGAGATTTTTGTATGATGTTTGAATTTGATTGTAAAAGTTATTCTGGTCTGAGGAATCAAAAACCCATTCAGTGAGTTAAATGCTGTTGAAGATCTCCAATGTCTGCTAGACCCAAACTCAAGGCAGGTCTCAGTGCCATGTGAGCTGCAGCTAATGCAGGCCACTCACGGTTTCCCGTGATGATGGCTCAAAGTCATCTTGCTTCTAGCATGATACAACTTCATAAGGATAAGTATTAGAAGAAACTTGAGTTCTCATTTCTCTAATCCTTAGGAAAATGTTCTATTCAAATTTCTGATTGCTGATAGACCCATCATTTTAGGAAAAAGGAAAACTGATAAAAAAAAAACTTTATTCCTGGAAAATTGTGATGCACAGTGACTGAAAGGGAAACTCTGGTACTGGAAACCTGTGTATTAACTCCCACTTGCAGCACTCACAGCTCGGGAGAAGACTGTGAGCCTGGGTTCATTGGGAGAATGGGAGAAACCGGACCTCCTCCATCCCTGAGGAGTATTTTAGTGATTTCTCTCTAGACTCTGTTCCTAGCCATCACATCGGTGTTTATTTTGCTTCTGAACACTGCCTTCCTCTCAGTTTTCCATGCATCGGAGATCTGTCAGCCTCAGCTCTTTGTTTTGTCTAATTTATCTTAATGGTGGCCACCAGAACAAAGTCACAAGATTTCTACACTAATCTCTGGGAGTGTTTGCCACGGGGCCCATGTCAGGTCAACTCTCTACAGGCACACATTGCAAATGGCTCTGGGGATCCAGTGAACTCACTTCACTGTCTTAAAGGCTTAGAAAGGGAGACACAATACCTCACCGAGTGATTCTGAAAGGAGTTCACCTACCTGGTCTGGATTATGTTCCAGGGGACAGTTGTCACACTGGTCTCCAACCCCGTCCATGTCTGTGTCCCGCTGGTCCACATTGTAAACATACTGGCAGTTGTCTCGCTCATTGAGGATTCCTATGGGGGAGAGGGCACATGAAAGCTGAGTCCTGCAGCCCCATGTATTTCAAGCAAAGCACACACGAACAGCCACCAAGTAAACCGTGGCTGTCCCTGTCCCTGCGGGCCGCCAAGCCAGGGAGCGCCTTACCATCTCCGTCGATGTCCACCGCGCAGGCGTCTCCCTCCCCGTTGTTGTCTGTGTCTGCTTGGTCAGGGTTGTGGTTGTAGGGGCAGTTATCACAGCGGTCTCCCACATCGTCTCTGTCATAGTCGTACTGGGCTGGATTGTAATGGAACGGACAGTTGTCCTGCAAAGAGGAGAAGTGGACACTCTATGGTGCTGCCTGGGAAATCAGCTGATGCCTTCAGCCCCACACACAGTATTAAATACCCTCAAAAACAAACAACCCTGCAGTGTTTTGTTTTGTTTTTTGTACTTGGCCAATATACTGAGTATTCAGCACAAATAAAATTCCAAGACAGGATGACATGACGGAGGAAAAACTGGATCCTTTTTGGTTATTACGAGAATTATATAGACATATAAGATCTATCTATCTATCTATCTATCTATCTATCTATCTATCTATCTATCTATCTATCATCTATATCTATCTATCTAAGAAAATATATAACTGCATCGTCTCAACTCATTATAAAAATACATTCATTTAGACATTATATCTGACTTGAGTCTGGTGGCCAGAATGCCATGTGTACACACTATGATTTCTCAAATTGGGGGAATTTGTAGTGAAAAATTGAACTCTCACTTTAACAACTCCTTTAGCACCATCTGTGTCCTCAAGTCACTGAGACAGAGACAAGTTTCTAATTATTCTCTGTATCAGTTTGGTATATGTTTATGCTATCACTCAGCAATGCTCCCGAATCCTGGTGTTCCAGGCTGTCTTTGTACCACAAGGACGAAGGAGGAATGGAGAGCATTTTGTCCCTACCCTGTCATCCGGGATTTTGTCATTGTCATCATCATCATCACAGGCATCGCCAATTCCGTCTTTGTCATAGTCTTCCTGCCCTGAGTTGGGAAGGTTGGGGCAGTTGTCCTAAGAAAAAAAGAGACACACGTGTAACAACTACAGTTAATGTTCCCTTGCTTCTCACACATGAGGGGCCCCACTAGGACACCCTAATTATAACGCTCAGGTGCGGGCATGTGTTTATGGGAAGGTGAAGCCACGAAAGGTATTTTGGCAGGTTACGCATGTGGAGGTTGTGTAAATGTTCCAGGCTTCATACATGCTGTGAACACAAGTCATACTCTGCAAGGTACCAATAGGACTAGTCTCTGTGGACAAAAGAATTGTGTCTGGGATACAAAGGCCAAAGGAGCCTGCCCTGTTCCTGACCTTGACACCAAATGACTCTGTGTTAAGGAGAGTTAATGCCTTTCTGCCTTTGGGAGGTCTAATCTTCGCTTCGTTTTCAGTTTTTCATGATTCAGAATTCCTTGGCACATTCCCGAGTGAGAAGCCCAGGAGGGAAGCTGGCTGTACCTTTTTGCAGTGGTACGTTGCATTGGCCACACACACCAGGTTCTCATTGGGCCAGCCGTCGAGGTCTGTGTCCTCTCCGCAGATGATGCCGTTGCCTGCGTAGCCAGGCTTGCACTCACAGCGGTACATGGGGTCGCTGTAGTGACCCAGGTAGTTGCACTTGGCATTCTTGTTGCAGTCGTGTGTCCCGTCCGTGCAGGGGTTTTGAGGCTTGCACACCTGAGGGCAAAGCATCCCAGTGCTATCACGGGATGTTTAAAAGTCCCAAGACTCCACATTGCCCAGCTCCCTCCCCTCCTGAAGCGGACAGAGGCCCCGTTTGGGGGACAGGTGGGATTCCCCTGTCCCTCTCCATTCTCTCTGAGGATCTCCAGGCTCTTGGCAAATGCTGTTTTATGCTGAATTTTCTTGGAACTGCTCAGCACGTGCAAGCCCAATCTGATCACAGCTTCTTGCAGCACAGCATTTTCAAGTGGCTGCCCAGTCACAAGTCTAAGACTGTGCATTCGCTGCCTTCTCTCTCCGCTGTTTGGTCAGGGACAGCCCTCTTCTACTCTGTCCCGTTTGTCTACTGTACCTGTTTGTTGGCCGTGGCATGTTCGACGCCTCGGCCAAAGGGCTGTGGGCCGGTGAATCTTGGCGGGCAGGGCAGGCAGTTGTAACCAGGGTCTGTGTTCTTACACCGATGTTCTCCGTTGTGATTGAAGCAGGCATCAGGCACCTCTTTGCACTATGGAGGAAGTGAGAGTTTGCTTAACACTTGGAAGGTGCGGTTTTACAATGGAAGGGCCCTGGGCCAGGTTAGCCGCTCTCTTCATCGTGATAATGTAGAGCTGCTAGTTGCTTACCTCGTCGACGTCTTGGCACTGGATGCCATTCCCACTGTAGCCAGGAGGACAGGCACCACACTTCCAGCTACCATCAGGATAGCTGGTACACTTGGCACCAGCAAAGCAGGGATTGGACAGGCATCCATCTGAGATGAGGTAAGAGACAGGTTGAGGGGTTGGGTCTAAGCTGCTTTTACTGCCATGTGCTACTTAAAAACGACACAGAACAAGACATGTGCAGGGTCTCTGTTATTGGTCATGGTCTCCCATGTCTTACAGTAGTCAGACCACCTGCAGCAATCAAAGCTGGATCCCGCCCCACAACAACCCCTGGATGCTGACTGGAACATTCGTGAACTAGAGAGCCCCCAGGGTGGTTCTGTCCCGGGCTTCACAGCTCGCTTACCAATTGGGCAGTCCTGCTTGTTGCAAACTTGATTTTCTGTCACGTCACCAACACAGTCTTTGCCTCCGAACTGGGGTGTGGGGTTGTTACAGAGCCGGCTACGTCTCTGCACTCCTCCTCCACAGGTGACAGAGCAGATGTCCCATAATGACCAGGGACCCCAGCCTCCATTGACTGTAAGGAAATGAGTCATGTGTAGAAATTCAGTTTTCACGTGCCTCATTTGTCCCAGAAGCCTGTCCTGAGCCTGTTAGAAATGCCTTCTAACCTGGCCCATGGGAATGAGGGATGGTTGAAAATGGGTTTCTTTCCGTTTTTCTTTAAAAGAAGCTGCTGACCATGCAAGACTTTATTTCTGTTTGTTTCTCTAGTGAGTGAGGGCCCATGCTCCATGGTCCACTGAGCTGGAGGCCAGAGATAGCAGGTGACCAGCTGGGCAGAATTGCCTCCCCAGACACCCCCAGGTCAGGCGCACACTTACTCGGGCAGGCGTCTTTCTTGCAGGCTTTGGTCTCCCGAGCTTCACCTTCACAGGGCTTCCCATTCATCTGGGGACTGGGAGAGTTGCAGAGCCGGATCCTTGTAATGACGCCATCACCACAGGTCACAGAACAGGACGACCACGGGGACCAGTGACTCCAGCCACCATCCTGTTTAACTGAAGAACAGAGCTGACAGTCACAACTGGTGCTGCCTCGGAGGGGGCCACAAAGAAAGTCTTGACACCCAACAATTCCAGCAGGTGACCAATGGCAACTCGAACCAGCGTGTGGTAGAAACTGGCTGTTGCCACAGGTCAGTGTCATTGGAGAAACTATCTCAGGAATGATGGCATTTGGCTGTCAATAGCCTAACATTTATAGGTTGTTGGTCAAGAGCCAAGCCCTATTGTAATTGTTTCATGTGCATTATCTAGAGAAATTGCCTAAAATAACTTTATCAAGAGGGGTCCCAGGTTATAGATGAGAAGGGGCCTCAGGGAAGGAAGGTCGTGCTCAGGTGTGCAGAGGTTGGGAGTGTAACTGAGACCAGATCCCAAGCCCAGAACCTGTGCCCTCAGGCTCCTCCCTATGCAGCTGCTCTTGGTGGTGGCAGCAAAGAGAGGAGAGATTGTCACCCCTCAGCGGCCACGATGCTTACATCTTTTATCGCACTCCCGAATGTGGCAGGTCCTTGTCTGCACCGAGGAGCCCTCACATCTGTTGTTGAGGCTGTCACAGGAGCGACCGCGTTGCTGAATCCCATTGCCACACGTGGCAGAACAGGAAGTCCACTCAGACCAGGGAGACCAGCCATCATCAGCAGAGTCACTGGCTGTGAGAAGGAACGAGGTCTTTCAGCATCAGCACCTCACATCTTAGATAAACTGCTTTCGAGAGGGTTCTGTTTAGGGGACTTCATTGCCGGAGGTTGCAAAGCAATAGGCTTTTTTAAAAAATCCTTATCTTTTCCTACTCCTAGCTTAACGGAAGTGTGATGAACAGATAGAAATTGTTTGCGTTCATGTAGGCACCAGATGTTTGGCTACATAACTGTGCTGTGAAGTGATAATTGATAATGGAGCCAGTTCATGTCTACCACGCACAGGCTTTTGTGTGTTGATAAAGATCTACCCTGCAAGCAAATCTTAAGCATGAACTCAAGTATCATTAACCCCTGACATGCCAGTGTGACCCACATGAGCTCTCCCTGGACTAATGTCGAAGGGTACAGAGTGACCATTATGGAGGAGGAAAAGTAGCACAAGTCTTGGGCCAGAGGTCCAGGGGTTCATCCCAGGCCCCTCATGTGTACAGGTCTGGGGGGATGGCAGTTTCTACCTGGTCCATACAGCTGAGTGTTCTCTCAGTGTGCATTCTCACATTTGCCCAGCCCAGTTTCTCCTCTGTGCGACTCAAGCAAGTTCCCCTCTCCTGACTGAGGACATCACAGGTGTTTCCAGGCTGATGTCCAAGAATGGCAGCACTTTAGGCAACTGGTCTGCATCATTTCTGACTGTCAGCGATGCCCTGCTCCATGTTTGGAGGCAGTGTGGCAGGGGCTGTGCCCCTGCCTCAGCACTGAGGTTCGTCAGTTTGTTTTCCCCACCTGGGTATCTAGTGTTTTCAGACATACTTTCACAAGATGAGAATATGTTTGCTTGCTATCTGCTCAGACACCGTGATGACAATCACTGTGTCTATTAGAGGACCGAGAACTTATTTCCTTTGGCCATCAAAGAACATTGTTCCCAGCAATCCCTAGCCCAACCTCGGAGCTTGCTAGCTTGTAGTTAGCTTCATTCCCTGTAACTTACCCCCAGGTAGATATTGGACAGGAATGAATGCGCAGAAAAACATTATTATGCCGAAATCACTACCATGGGATTGAATATTCTGAGCCATGGCTCACGTGTACAACTCTGTGTGTGTGAGTGATGGGCAATTTGACGTCCCTGATTTCTTTCTGATCCACGATGAGGCACTTTATGACTTGTGCCTTCTGCATTAAAAATTCTCCTCATCAAAGTGATTATACCAGAGACAAGCCTTGGAGGTGGTCACACAGCAGTCTAGCTGCTGATTTCTTTTACTACCCTGGAAATTTGACAGTTTCTGTCAATTTGCCAGTGGATAATTTTTCTCTAACAAAAAAGATCAATTTCTAAAAGCAACCAGCTGATTACTGTATTCCTCTCCTCTCCTCACAGCATAACACCAGAATCCATAAGCTCTGCCAAGACCATTCATTGCCTATGCTATAATCCAGATGGGTGGTTAAGACTTGGTCCCTGTGGAGGCTGGGCTCGGTACAATAGACTAGCTGATAGTAACCTATGTTGATTGGCAAGATTCTGAATGGAAATGTCTGATGGATCTGTGAGGGGCTGGGCTCCAGTGTTGTGCCCACCTGTCAGGATGCCCCCAAACTGAGCTAGCCCCTGAGGAACGGTTGCACCATTTTTAGGAACTTACGCCAGCACCGTGGGCAGCATTCTCCATCGGGGACAGTGGCATTGGAGCAGGGCATGATGGGGCAGGACACTTTCTTGCAGATGGTAACTGAGTTCTGCAAGGCAGGAGAAGGAGAGGGAAATACATTACTGAGCCCATTGCAAAGAGGCCCTTTCTGTGACATTTCTACCATCAGCCAGGACTCCTTTGGGCAGTTTTAATGGAGGGCTATCTCTCTGCTAGATCTGTAGTCCCCACTGTCACACAGTTCCAGGGCTAATTCTCGCTCCATTCTTTGGAAAAGTTCTTTGTAACTGCTACTCCATCAGGTGTGGAAGTTACAGAACAACACACATTTGAATAAGGGAAGTATGACTCTGCATTGATTTCATACGTATATATCAAAGGCAGGTATGACTTCACCACATGCTGCAGAAAAATGGGAACTTAGTGGAAGCTGTGTCTCAAATTCAGTGATCAGTGCTTCGCACCTAAACTCTACTTTTCCTGGTGAGCTGGAGATCCGAACAGTGTTAAAGGAAACTCCCTGCCAGAGCTGAATACAAATCAGGGCTGGGCCCCCCTAAAAAAAGACTGCTCTAAGCAGGTTTTATGTACCTGACATTCAATACCCGGCCTTTGAGCTAAAGCAGGTAAATTATTCCAGTGTTTAGGCAGATTTGTTCTCTTAGTTTGTCAGCCTGGGGTATAATTAAGACTTTGATAAACCTTCTGAGAGTTGAAGAGGAATTTGTAGATGTCATAATTACATATGAAAGGAAAAAAAAACCAAAACAAACAAACCACTTTGGTAGGCCAGAGCACAATTAGAAACGTGTGGGGTTGTTTAAGCATCTCCTGAGACTTCCGCCATCACTGTCGTCTGTGAGCGTCCCTTACCTGGCAGTGACACTCAGTGCAGCTGTCTACAGTCCATTCCTCATTGTTTCTGTACTGGACTCCATTGTGAAAGCACAGAGGGGGCCGCCTCAGCTCACTGGCCAGCTCTCTGTTCTCTTCCGTCTGAGAGGGGAGAAAGCTTGTGAGCGTCCCTTTTGTCTCCCCCCCCCCCCCCCCCGAGAGACCACCTGTGGGCCGGCAAGCGGGGGTGGGGGTGGGGGTGGGGGTGGGGGTGGGAGGGGAGGGCAGAGGCCACTGACCACTTTGCGGATGCTGTCCTGTAGAGTGGTCACGATGGTGCGCAGGCCCCTGAGTTCCAGGACCATGCTGGAGAGCTCGTCACAGGAGAGGCCGCAGATGGCCTGCAGGTCCTTCGTTTTGTGGCCGATGTAGTTGGTGCGGATCGCGGGGCTGGAGCCGTTCACCACGTTGTTGTCAAGAGTGAGGACGACGTTGGTGGCTGCTGAGAAGCAAGAGGAAACATGAGGACTCCCATAGCTGACCTCCCAGCCCACCCTTCAGGTTCTCGGTATAAAAGACATTTCATCTGGGATTTTGTAGACCTCAACTTAGTCCCCCCCGGGGGGGGGGGGATTTGTGTGTCAGCCTCGCTGCTTACATCTCTCAGGGTGTTTTTGGTGGAATTCCCCAGAATCCTCCAAATCTCAACCACACAGGGGTACTCACAGCTGGAGCAGCCTTTGTTCCTGAGAATGTCTTCTGGGGTGGTTCCGAAGACAAACCTCACATTCTGCAGCACCCCCTGTGGGCAGAGGACACACACTGTAGGAGGCAGGGGGTTGGGGTGGGGGAGCCTGCCCCATCCCGCTTGGAGAAGCACGGGGCAAGTGCTCAGAAAGTTTAAAAAGAACTGTTTTAAGATCACCCTGCCAGAAGTTCACACAGATGTAAATTGCCAAACAACTGCAAAATCCCTAATTGTGTCTTCTGCCAACTTGAGTGTTTTATAAAGAATCCCAGTTATCAGGCCGTTTGGGGTACACAGGAAATGGAATCTGATACCAAGTTTGGAAGACACGGTACTCCCCAGTGTCAAAGCCATGGTTGTAAAAAAAAAAAAAAAAAAAAAAGAATCTGAAAATTAAGGCGACAAAGAAGTCACAGCAGCATGTGACCAGACTGTTACTGCTACCTTTTATCCATACTGAAGGCAACCAGAACACCCCACCAGGGACTCAGATACTGACAAAGTATCCTTCTCAAGCCAAATTGGGGGGTACATTTGATACAAGTTATTTTTCCTAAGCATAAGGAGTGTTCCCTACTGAAACAGGCTGAGTGTTAATAGGAAAAACATCTCTTATCTCTCCCGGGTAGCTTTGAAAGCCTGCTTCTCAGACCCTGGCATCATTACAACTTCTTACTAGAAATGAAGTTTCTCAGGCCGGGTCACCTGACCTACCAAATCTGAAACCCTGGAGTTTGGGGTGGTGGTAAATGATTTAACGAGCCCTCTGGGAGGAGTCTGCTCCTCCCTGCATTTGAGAATAGTTTAGTCTCAAGACATTACCTCCGCATAGCCCTTGTGACAGGTAAGAAGATTTACCTGAAAATTGTCATTGACATCTCCCTTTGCAACGCGGAGCCTGGCAACATTGGCCAGGTCCCTGGTGAAAATGCTCTGGATGGGAACATCCAGCTCCGCGCTCTCCATCTTATCGCAGTCAATGTAGAGTTGGGCTCGGTCTTCTTGCACAAACAGCGTGATGCTCTTCCACTGGCCGGTGGCCAGGAGAGCTTCCTCCACGGACACCACTTGTTGCCTGCCCGGGAGGCTCAGACTCAGATCCAGGGTGCCTGCCTTGCCGTTGGAGACCACACTGAAGATCTGACCAGTGCCGTCTTTCCGTTCCACGGCCAGGAGTGTGCCTCGGGTCTTCTTCATCTGCCTCAAGGAAGCCAGGAAGATGAAGCCTTTGTCAGCCCTCACAGCATCCAGTAGGTCTTGGAATTTGTCATCTGGCACAGGGGGGATCAGGTTGGCATTCTCAATCCTGAAGGCTGGGCTGGACGCGTCTAGGCCCTTCACCAGTCGGCGCCCGGGGCCCCTGCGGGCAGCTCCAGTGAGTTCAAAGATGTCAAAAACACTGTTGTCTCCCCCGGACTCTGTAAGGCAGGAGAAGACAATCAGCTTTCTAGGCACCTGGCTGTGAGGGGGCGAAGGGAGAACTCTTGGCAATCTCTGGCACTGAGGACCCAGAGGAAACAGCTTAGAAAGAACAGCGAGGGAGGGGTACACCTGAACTATGTTGCATGTCCCCCCAAAAAGAGAGAGAGAGAGGGGGAGGGAGAGAGGGGGAGGGAGAGAGGGGGAGGGAGAGAGGCAGAGGGAGAGAGAGAGAATGAAGATCTCAGACTCACCTGGAATGCGGTTGCTTCCGCACACATTCAACAGGAGCAGGACACCTAGCCCCCAGACCAGCTCCATGGTGGAGCCTTTGTGCTCAATACAGAACCTGTAGCAAGAAGCACAGGAGGCCAGAGTCAGAGACCAGGTAGCAAGGTGGGAGGGCAGGTGTGTGTGTGTGTGTGTGTGTGTGTGTTCATTGTTGGCCCTATGTATGCTGAAAAGAAAGGCAAAAGGGATTTACTTTCGGGAGGACATTCATTTAAAACTAAGACCGCCAGAGGCAGGGGATTGTGGTGTTCCAGGATGAAGGGCATAAAGAGACTTAAAGTTTTTCCTTGCAGAGTCCTTAAGACAAGACTACGGAACATATTTGGGCAAAGGTCAGCGTGACCCTGAGACTACTCGGTGAGAACATCTTGGGGGGTGTCTTGGAGGTATTGTTTGTGTACCCTAAAGGCTGGAGAGAACCGGCGCCGGAAAGTTCTCTCCATCGGCTAGACGGGGCACGGTAAGTGACAGCTGGGGCAGGCGGAGGGAAGAGTCGGAGGTGGGGGAGTCACCGTCTGCAGCCTGAGGCGGCAGGCCAGGTGCTCAGCGGTGGCGGGAGGTGGCTTACCTGGGTGTGCCGGGGCGCAGGAGCTGGGAGCGGTGGCAAAGGCGCAGCGAAGGGCAAGGACGCCGAGGCCAGCGGAGACTCGGGAGCGGCCGGGGCGCCCGGAGAGACGGGGTTGGGACTGGGTCGCTGCGTCGTCGGGATTGCCTGCAGGAGTCCGGTGGGGCCGGCTGACTCTGCGCAGTGGCTGGCTCCACCGAGGAGCCCCTGGACCTTTTAAAGAGGCGTTCGCATTCCTGGGAATCGAGCTGGCCAATGAGCGTCGGGGCAGGAAGCAAGGGGAGGGGGAGCGGGGGGGGGGGGACGGGGGAGGAGGGACGGGGGAGGGGAGGGGGACGCCTCCCCCCCCCTTCCCCCGCTGCCTGGCTCGCAGCTCTCGGGCTGAAAGTGAAGAGGGAGACACCGATCCTGCCCGGGAACCCTGGAACTTCTCAGAAAAATAGGTCTCCGGCCACGCAGCCCTGGCCTGCGAGGGGAGCCCAGAAGCGACGCTCCTTTGGGGACCACCTAAAACCCTTGGTGGTGGTGGTGGTGGTGGGGCTTTCACTAAAGCTCATCTCCTTGAGTGCTTTGATGACGGAGACACTTGGGGACTGAGACAACCTGGTTTAAAAATAAAAGTAAAGAGGGCAACGGGTGAACGGTCGGAAGCGGCCTCCTGGTCCATGCTGGAGGAGTGGGGGAACCCTCGTGTCCCACTCCTGCCTTCCTCCGACCTAACTAAGGGTGGCAGTGCGCGCTGGGCCAGCAGGATGGTGCGCTGAGGTCGCCATCCCACTGTCCCAAGTCCTGACTTCTTCCCCAGGTCTAATGTGCTTCCCGAGACGGCCGCGTGGGGGCGGTATAAGTATTCTGATTTAGTGGATCCCTGCGGAGAGTTTCTAGAGGCATTTTTAAGCAATCGAATTCATACCCAGCTCCCTCAAGGCAGAACTGAAATTGTGTCTTGAAAAAACAGTTTTGTGCCCACTCGTGTTTCTTAACGTGACTCCTGGTTGGAGAATTTGCTGAACCCTCTGGCTCCAGGATCTTACACTATTTACAGAACCGATCCGTAAGAGTAATAAATTACTCTCTGCCTACTATTTTATTTCCCGTCTTTCTGCCTAAACGTTCTTTTCATTTTTTTTTTTTCAGCTCCCGAAACCGGAGTGTGGGTTACATTTCTGTGGGCATACACATTTCCATGAGCTGCTGCCTGATGCTTCTGTCTCTGAAGTCTGGTCTCCATGCCATCGGTCCCAAGCCAAGATGACTCCAGCTTCCTGGAATTCCATTCATCCCTTTGGGAAGGGACGTCAGTGGCGACGCTTCCCCCAGCTGTGGTCCTGCGTGAACAGGCTTGGCCCTGAGTTCAGGGACCCAGGTAAAAGCATCACCAAATAAGGATCTTGGCAGAGTCAGGGTGGAGGCAGGCTGAGGGACCGCTGGGGCTCCCTCCCCTTATCAGTTAAACCCGGCTCTACTCCCAAACTCTTGGCAACACCCAAGACTTTACGCTCGCCAAACAGCGATTTCACTTTTCGAGCTTGCGTGTGTGTGTGTGTGTGTGTGTGTGTGTGTGTGTGTGTGTGTGTGTGCTGTGCAGGAGGGGGCTTGCAGAATGTTTCCTAGTTACTAGGGGTACACAGTTACACAGCTAGTGCCTCCCGAAGATAAGTACGTTCCTAAGATGTGTTTGTTTATTGGACTTCAGATACTCAGAGCCAGGAGTAAAAGTTTCTACTGGATGATTAGTCAAGTCAGATTCCTGTCCTTGAAGTCACGGGCCCTGACTCATCGGCACAGTCTGAAGATTCCGGAATCAGCAGCCACACTTGTTCTTCAATCCCCGTTCCTTCCTCAGGTCCCCTTTGCTCCGTGAAAGGTGACTGCTTTCAATTTCCTGTTCAGCAGTAATTCTTCCTGGTGGGTCCCTTAGGAAAGAAATGTTCGTGGAGGAGGGCTGGTAAAGGTCTTGGGACCCTCTTCCCTCTTGATCGTGTACCATAGAGATGAACACAAGAGGCCCTCAGGCAGGAGCTTGTCTCCTTGTTTCAGCCCCCACCCCCCTTCCCTAGGTGCAGCCACACCGGTTGGTTCTGATGGAACAGGAGCAAGCAGGCTCTGTCCCTTGGGGCCATGTGCTGCCCAGACAGAGGGGTGTGGACAGCTATCAGCTTGGCTTCTTCAACAACTCAAGACGAGTTTTTGACCTCCACGGTCTTCAGATATGGCATTGTGGAGGAGCTCTGTTCTAAAAAAAAAACAAAGCTGGCAGTGGCCTAGGAGATATTGAATACAAACACAGAGTCTTTCCCTAAACACAACGTGGCAGTCCAGCTGTCCTGGCAAAAACAAGGTTTGCAGGAGACGAGGGTCACTGTGTGCTGTGGCCAGATGACAGAAATTCAGCGCACTGGGGCGCAGCAGAGAGGCATGGGAAGAGGCAGGAGTCACTACCTTTAATATGGGGGCTACAGTCTGTGCATGTGTTTGTGTCCCCTTCCCTGTGTGTGTGTGTGAGAGAGAGAGAGAGAGAGAGAGAGAGAGAGAGAGAGAGCATGTGTTTCTCTCCTCAATGAGTAGAAACACTGATTTCCGTCCTGCTTCTATTTCTTACATTCATTATTCACACTTGCTCTCCTCCCTTCCTGTTAGGCCTCACGGCCCCAACACAGTTCCCGTCCTACTCTCATGCCCTCTCTGATTTAAATAGGTTGAAGAGATTCTCCACACTAGAGAAAATGTGACATCTTTCTTTCCAAGGCTGTCTTATTTCGCTTAACATAATGATCTCTGGTTCCATCCATTTTCCTGCAAATGTCATGATTTCATTTTCCTTTATAGCAGAATAAAATTCTCTTTGTGTATATGTACCTCATTTCCTTTTTCCATTTATCAGTTGATAAACCTCTAGCCTTTAGGTAGCCTCTAGCTTCCATATCTAGGTTATTTGAAGAGCATAGTTTCGAGCTGCTAAATCTACCAACCCTACAGGCCAGGCTGCTTCCCGGTATCTTTGTGATATGTGCTTATTATTTAATCTGATTTGCTCTTGTTTTCTGTTGCTTAGAAAACACGATGCCATATCTGATAATGACTTTTTCTCTTCTGTTCTCTTTTACCCATACTTGTCTAGAATCTCTTTTTTTTACCTCTGCAGGGTACAGAAATAAAGGCAGGCCATAGGTTAAACCTTTCATAGCCTCCTCACCTATTTTGTTAAAACACGATACTTTTTGTTAAATATAAAAACTTTCCCCATGGGTGACTTTACTCTCTCTTCTTCTGTTGGCCTTAGAAGCGGGGATGGCTTTTAATTCTCAAGCGGGCTCACGCAATGGTAGGCAATCAGGACTCCCACATTTCTTGTCCCCGGGAAGGAAGACATTGTTTAATATCGCTCCAGTCAGTTCCTTTGTAGAGTGAGATGCTAGGTATTCTGTCTGTAGCTGGGAGTCCCAGGGGAGTCCCAGGGGACAGCATGGCTTTGTGTATGAGTCACGCACAAGCTCGAAAGATAACGTCAGATCTCTTCCCTCGTTCCTCTTTCTCTTAGTTTTTGACATGGGGCTCGCTAACCAGCTAGCCTGATGAGCCAGGAAGCCCCTTCTGTCCTCTTGGCTCTGCCCCACGGTGTCAGGATCACATCTGCCTTTTTCACACGGGTTCCGGGGAGGCAAATCCAGGCCCTTGTTCTTGCACAGTGAGCCATTTCCTCAGCCCAAGACAAAGGGGCGTTTTATACACGGCTAGTTGGAATGTATACTAGTCCAGCCACTATGGAAATCACTGGCTGCGGCGGTGGTGGGGTTCTTTGAAAAACTAAAAACAGATCTACCACATGAAGAGCTCCACCACACCTAAGCCTTTACTCATAGGACTCTAGATCAACACTTGTCAAAGATGTCCACACACCATCACTCCTTGTGGCTCTGTTGCCTGGAGTTACTGGACTGACCTGAGTGTCCCCAAACACAGGAATGAATAAAGAAAACCAAGGCACACACACATACACTGCGTCATTTCCCTCAGCCACAAAGAAGAACAAAGTTGCGTCATGCACAGAGAAATGGATGCAAGCCAGAGGTAAGCCTACCAAGTAAACTAAGGTAATTATGGATAGACAGATAACACGCCCTCTCTCATATGCAGTTTCTAGATTTTATATAGAGCTATGAAGTCAGGTATGTATATATATGACTTGAAGGTAGAAGTGGAAATGCCTAGGAGAGAAAAGGGGAGAACGAGGGGAATGCGGGAGAATATACTTGGTTTCCAATATGTTCTTGCATGAAAGTGTTCTTACAGTATCCGTGCAATGACTATATATAATGATTACTTTTCATCGAGTTGCTTTAAAATGGCGGAAAACATGTCTGAGTTCTGCCCTTGCTTTTCTAATCATGTGACCCTCACAACAGCAGTGACTTCGGGGTCATGAATGACTTCCTAAGGTGAGGACTACACCCTGGGAAGCTCTCAGGATCTCAGGATAGATTGTGAAGTGTTTTCTGCACCCCACCCCGACAGGAGTATGAATTAAGTAGTTCGTCTGAACCCCCGGGGCTAGGTATGTTCCCATCCAGTGACCTGGTGATTCAATGGGGGAGCTTCAGAGGCCCCTGATAAGAAAACTCAAGAATCTGAAAAACCATGAGACAGTTGGAGTTTCCAAGACTTCCATGATGGAGTTTTGCATTAGAAGACAAATTAGACACAAGCCCTTTAAAGAATCGAGCTTCCTTAAGGTTTGACGTGCTCCTTCACACCACCCATTTGCAAACTATAATTTCTCAAAGTGTCTGAAGCCTTCACATGTGAACTCCAGATTAAGTGATAATTCTAAGTTTTCTGTTATTTTTCCTGGAAGAGAATGATGAGTGTCAGTTAGAAGAACAAGACAATCAAACATAGAGTAACCTGACCATTGCTTGGATTGTGTGAAAATTTCTGCAGAATGATGATGACATGGAGATTGGCATTCAATTGAAGTCTGGGTGAAGGACTCACGTGCCCAGATGGCCGAGTTATTGGGGGTGTGTTTATAGGCACATCAATCTCTCAGAAGGTAGCATTTCCCCCATTTCTCTTTTCTTCCTTTTTGTTTTGTGAGATCATACCAACTTGGATAGTGTAGAATCCTAGCCAAAAGAACTGTCTCTCCTAATTTAAGAGTCTGAGAAAAGGTGTTTAATT